ATATAATTTTTTTTTTAAACATTTTGAAGTAATTTTGCTCTGCAATGTTATAAAACTATATTAAAACCTTGTGTAAGGTTAATGTGATTATAAGGTTGTTTGAAAATTATTGATTATTTTTGTTTTAAATAGGTGTTTAATTATTTTCATTATGAATTAATTACGAATATAAGACTAATTTTAATATAAGATAAAGTTGAAACAAAAGATTTGTAAATAATAATTTTCTTCTTTGTCTTTGTCTTTTTAAAATGCCTCTAATTAAATTTTGAAATCTCTACTGTTATAAAACCTCAATAGTTTTAATTAATAGAGTTTGCGACAACTTGGGACTTTGTGGCTTTACTCGTACAACCAATTGTCATTGTCATAACAAACAGAAGCCTGTTCTGACTATAAGCAAACACTTTTTTTAGGGTATTTGTCAATCATCGGTTCCAAGGTATTTGTCAATCATTGATTCCAGAAAAGTAGGTTAACATGTGATTAACATGTTCATTGGATTTGGAATTTCGTCATTTATAGTGCAAAACAAACGTACGTTCTTGTTACTTTTCAGTTTCATTTTTTCAAAATGTTTTTTAACTTAATTGTAAATGATAGGTGTTTTTTACAGTTAAAGTTTTTATTATTTATATATGTTTAAAAAATAGCTTTCTGCTTTTAAATCCCGCAAAAATACTACAACACAAAATAAAATCCTCGATTTCAGGTGGTAGAGCTAGAAATGATATTGAAATATTTTTAAAAAGCCGTTTGTTTGTTTGTTTTTTCATTTTTGAAGAAAAAATATTTAGTTTTCATGTACTGAAAAAAATTTTTAATATATTTAGTTTATAAAGTTTTTATGTAACTACATATAACGATTATGTAACTACATAAAACGTCCTTAGTTACGCTCTTAGCAACGATTAACAGTTTTTTACCTTGATATTTATCCTTAAAAACATAACAAGGTTCAAATCAAAAACTAAAAAAAGTATTTGCAATTGTTAGGTCATTAACTGAAGAAACATTGTAAATTTTGGCTGTTTTTTTGTAGCAACTTTAGTACATGCTGTTTAATTTTGATATTGCCAACATCAAAATTAAACAGCATGTACTTAAGTTGCATTTTTAGATTTTACTTCAAGTATTATAAATAATGGGTGCTTCAAGAAATAACATTAAAGTATCAAATAAGCAAAACTTTGGACAAAAAAAAAAAAAGATTTTTTTACTGAAAATCGTTATACTAATGCAAATCAAATAATCAAATCAAATAAAATATATTCTGAATATAGTTGTTATATCAATAATAATAATAATAATAATAATAATAATAATAATAATAATAATAATAATAATAATAATAATAATAATAATAATAACAATAATATTCATTATGATAAAAATATAGTAATAATAACAACAATAGTGATAAAGAGAATACTATTGAAACATTTCAGTTTAAAATAATAAATTTAATAAATGATATTAAAATTAGTAATATATCACAATAGAAAAGAGAAAAAATAATAGATGAATAGAAGCTCCGCGTTAGGGTTATAAATAATAAGTTGTAAAAGGATATAAGATTTGTAAACATTATTTCTCTAAAAAATGGTTAAAGAGAACAGTTTGAAATTTTGAGAATGATTTAAGAGATTTTATTTGGGAAGGAAGATTGTTCCAAATTGTAAGCAATGATTATTTCATACTTATCAATTTTTCAACTTTGTTTGATATTGTGGAAAGTGTTAGATATCCTTATTGTTACAGCCTTGTTGCGATTGTTGATTATTCTTCTGAATGCATGAATGGGTTTTACCCATTTTTTTGAAATTAAGTGTGGTATATGTGAATGGAAAAAAGTTTTATATTCTTCTAAAAAGAGTAGTAAATTGAATGGAAAAATGGCCCAGGATAGGAAAACATTTGCAGCAAACACAAGAATGATAATTCAATTTTAAGAAATTGGAAAAGGGTATCAAGCTATAAAAAACTTTAGTCACTATATGAATTTACAATGTTTGACAGCTACTCTATTTAGAAACGTAAATATAGAAATATTAAAAGCTTATTATAAAACTGCGAATGAAAGTATGAAAAGTGCCACAACTGAAATAAAAGACAATCATATTAATGATATTCAACCAATAATGACCATGTTCGATGGTCGATGGTACTTTGCAACAACGCGGCCATACCACCCTTAAAAGCCAAAAACTAATATTTTTCAGATGGAAATATATCTTTAAAAATTTCTGAAATAAAATTTTTTTCAAATAATTTTTTTACATCCATATTGGCGGAAAAACTGAAAAATCTTGCAAAAAAGCCTGAAAAGTGCCTAAAATTAAATAACTTTGTGATGTGATATCTTACCTTGCATAAATATTTTCTCGCTCAACTTTGTAGATTGGTGCATTATAATGTTTGATTCCGGTTGACGGATGGATTTTAAAATATAAAAACTTATTTTAAATTTAATCACGAATTATTGAAAATATACTTAAAACACTAAATGATTTGACGTAAAACGTGAAATAATTTTTTTATTAAAGAAAATTGAGCTGGAGTTTTTTTAATCCTATCTGTTAACCGAATTTCTGCTGTATTCTGAATATGCTCTAAAAATTTCAGTCAAAAATCATTGGTCAAGATGTAAAGATATTACAAAGTTACAATAGTAATTTTTTGAACTTGGTAGAAAAGACAAACTGAATAAGAATATGATTTATAGTATGCAATAGTATTATGGTTCAGCTATGAGAAGTAATGCAAATAAAATTTACGTCATGAAAAAGAATCTGAAAGTCGTAAAATATCTTCGAACGCAAGACACAAATGTAATACAAAAGTACAAAAATATATGTAATAAAAATTCAACATTTTTTTAAAAATGTGTACATGGGCAGACCTAAAATACATATTAAAGTTCTAATGTATTGGTTTGGTTTTGTTGGCCTAAAAATATATTTGTTTGTAAATAAACTTTTAAAATGAGAATTAATTCAGCAATTTTACACAATAATTATGGTACCTAAGGTGTTAAAAATGTTTTCAACACCTTAGGTACCATACTTTTATTTGGACTTAGGCCTTGTTACAAACTCTAAACCTTATTTACAAAACATTTCACGTGTAAAGAGCATGGAGATAAAGTCAGGTGAAAAGTTAAAAAATAGAACAAAAAGTCTCAGAGCAAGAAAAAAAAGGTACTCTGATAAACAAAATGAAACATTATTTTCAAAATGAAACATAATTTTATGTATCAGGAGGGTTTAAATCAAAATGTATGAATATATTTAAATATATTATAACTTTCTTTTGCGTTTCATTGAACTTTGGTTTTTTGTAACTTCAAAACCAAATATCTTTGGTTAGAAAAGTTCAATTTACTTGAAATTTTCACAGTATCTTCAGTATACATATTAAATTCACTTATATGTATACATATATATGCATTTATATCTACTTTGATTATAGCTTTCAAAGCCTATTTCAAATTTTTTTTCTTTTTCTCTATAAAGTATTACGTGCCAAAAAAATAGTTACACTACAAAAACCACGATTTTCGGCTTCATTATCCTTTATGCTATATTAAAGTCTATTATACATCTTTGTTATCCTTTATGCTATATTAAAGTCTATTATACCTCAATGGTGTTATTAATTAAAAAAAGTTTTTGTTACATTCGAAAAAATGTATTTGTTTTATTTGAAAAACATATTAAGCAGGAGATCCAGGTTTGAAACGAGCTTTGGACATATTTCACGTCACGGTAAGGAAAGAGGCGTGAACTTTCTGGTTAAATGCACTTCCGTGGTGCTCTGTGAAGACTTCTTGGGGCGCCTAAATAACAAATTAAAAAAAAAAAATCTCAAGGAAAAAACCGCTTAGTCACATTTAAAAAATTTTGAGGTATATGTTATCGATTATTCATTTAAGTTTTGTATTTATAATATTATTCGATAACTTGTCAACTGCTGTATTATTTCTCGACTCTCTTCTTTACTTTCTGCTATATTCAAACTTAAGCAGCGTTTAAGTTAGGATTTCACATTGTTTAGTTACTTAGGGTCTTGTTATAATATTAAAGTCAAAATGAGCTCTGAAATAAATATTCAGGTTATACAATTTCAGTTAAAATACAATTGTTTGAAAATTTCATTATAAATCACATTTGCAAACAAAACAAGTTGTAATCAGCTAATTTCTATATTGTCTATTTTTATCCGGGTCTTTTAGTTTATCCTAACTTTTTTAAAAGTTGTATCATTCTTGAAACTAGATTTATTGGACACATACTCCATAGATAGTTAAATATTTATTGATGATAAAATGTAGAAATGCCTCCGGTTGACGAAATATATTTAAGGTGGTTCACCACTAAAAAAAACTAAATTTTTATCAAAAGTTGGTTTTTAAGATTTTTTTTGTTTTATAGCAGTTCAACATTGCTGAAAATGTTTCTGGATTCTGTTTTCATATATCTTGAGTATTTTTTGAGGTATTTCACTTTAATTAGACCTTATCAAATAACTTTACCACAGCAACGGCCCCTAGCAACACGAACTTTTTGCCTTGATTTAAGTTTTTATTGTCAACTTTGGTTAGTTACGCATTAGTTTAGTAGGCCAGCATGGTTTGACAAAAGTTTAGAATGTAACAGTCTATGGAAGTTGTTATTTTCGTATGATTTATCTGAAGCCATCTTGTGATAATTTATTGTTGTATTTAAAAAGCTTTTTATTTTTCTTATTATTTAGTATAACTTATCAGTTTCATATTATATATTTTAAAATGTTAAGATATTATATATAATGGGAAGCAAAAAAAAAAAAAAAAAGAGTTCAAAAAGAAAAAGAGCATTTTATGGCAACCAGTGGAACAAAACACCTACCCTTAAAGAAGAAGAAAATGTTGAGCATGTTCAGTTAGTGCCAGCAAAGTCTCTAACAAAAGCTGATAATTATATTAATTCATAAAATTATAACATTATAATAAACTCCTCTATTTTAAAAAAAGTTATTGATAATATTGTCAATTGCCCAGAATGTAACAGTTGTATTGTTTTTACAGATGAAAACGATAAACGAAGTGGGCTTTCTCACAAGTTGAATTTTAAATGTACTAAATGTAAATTTCAGTATTGTACATATACATCCGATGATGTTAAAAAATCTGTATCTAAACAAGGCAGAAATTATTTCGATATCAACCTTAGGTTATTGCTTTTCGTGAAATTGGGAAAGGACACCAAGCCTTAGTGGACTTTGCACGAATTGCAAACACTTCATGCATGAATAACAACGCATTTAACAAACTTAATAGCACTATTCAAAATGCATATAAATTATCAGCAGAACAATCCACAAAGGCAGCTGCAATAAAAGTTAAACATAAAGTTAAAGAGGAGCACATTGGTTCAGGAAAAAAACTAATTAGAGTTTCTTCAGATGGCTCATGGCAAAAAACCCGGTCATGTTTCGCTAAATGTTGTAATGACCACTATTTCAGAAGAGCAATGTATTGACTTCGAAGTCTTTTTCAAGTATTGTAGGGGATGTAGAATGTGGAAAAGAAAGCAAAATCATCCAGGTTATGCTGAATGGAAAGCTAATCATGTTTGCTCCTTAAATCACATTGCATCGTCAGGGGTTAGGGAAAGTGCTGGTGTGGTAAAGATATTTAATCGTTCTGTAGAAAAAAATGATTTGATTTTTAAATATTATTTGGGAGATAGAGATTCCTCTGCATTTAATGATGTTCTTAGCAGTAATCCATATGGAAAGTATCAAATCGAACCGGAAGAGTTAGAATGTGTTGGTCATATCCAAAAGCGCATTGGTACAAGATTACGTAATCAAAGAAAAGATATACATCATGGTAATCGGTTAACTGGAAAAGGAAAATTGACAGAATGCGCAGTTAATAGAATACAAAACTATTTTGGTATGGCTATTAGACAGGCTGCAGCTTATAATTCCTTAAGTAAAAATGAAAAGGTATACCAAGTGAAAAAAAACATTCGCGCAGTTCTTTACCATTGCACTAATTTCCTGATCAATTTTATCGCCACGTGTTATGTCCAGTGGGTCCTAATAGCTGGTGTAAATGGAAGAAAGGAAACTCTTCAGGTAACAGCATTTACATAC